AAAAAAAAAGTGCAAATGAGCTCCAGCCATTTAAATAATAATAAAAAAAATTAAGAAAGTGAGAACAGTTCCCCTTTTCCTGTTTCCTGTTTTTCCCTGTACTGATCTTTTGCTTGATATTCTCTCCAAGCTTTGGAGTTTGAAGAAGTAAAAGCGGAAAAAGGCATTGGGATTGTAAGACGAGTTAGATTTTCCGTGCTGTCTTTCTGCAACGCATCTCTTCGCAGCTGATCTCAGATTTTCTGCTTCGGTTTCAGTGGCCGGTGAACCGCCGACAATTGGAGTTTCTGGTAGTGAGCGGCAGCTTGGTTCTGCATTTCCGGTGATTATTCTGGTACGTACTGTACTGCTGATTTTGTGTTTTGGTTTTTCGTAGAGAAAACTCGAGAATCTGGTTTCTGTTTGGTTAGATGGAAACTATGTTTGCTTGTAATGTATTTTTCTTCAAGGTTTGACTTTCTTGTTCTTGATTATTTCGGATTTCTTCGTTATGAATCCAAATCAGTTCTTTAGCTCAAATTGACAGTGAAGGAGTTTTCTTCTTCCTATTTCTAGTTTTAGTAGACTGGTTGTTCGGCTAAGAATTACTGTACATTTTGCTTTGTTTGATTTGACTTGAGGAGAAGAAAGGACTAAAATATGAAGAAAAATAAATGCTCCTTATTAAAAATCTGATTTTAATTTATTCTGCTTAGCAATTTCGTTGAAAAGGCAGTACAAATGAATGTGGAACTGCTAGATTTGCCCAATGTTTTAAGACTGTTGTATGCTTGACTGAAAGTTGACCCATTTTTATGGTACGTACTGAAGTTTGAAATTCTGTATTCATTAGGTAGTTGGGAAGAGTTATGTTGGGAGGCCATGTAAGATGTAAGGAAATTTGCTTATTGTTTGAGGAACTTGTAATATCTTTGTTACTCTCACAGTCTAGCTGCATGTTTTACTTGCTGCTAACAAAGAAGATTTCAGTTATTGACATTCTTCTGTTCAACTAGTAAATTGCCCGTCTGAGGCAGAGCTTAACCTCTCATCTGTTTTGAGAAACTTATGCCATTATGCATGTGAATCTAGCATTTCCCATTTCTTATTGTTACATTTTTGTTAATTCTTTTTTCTATATGCACAGGTCAAGTTTCTATGGGAACTGAGTCAGAATTCCCAGCAAAAACGATCTGCTGCGCTTAAAACCTGTTTTGTCCATGGACCATCATTTAGAGCCTAAAAGGAATTCAAGAGATCAACAATGTGGAACTACTGAGAAGATTATGCTGCCCCAAGCAAGCAATAGGGGCAATTCACGAGGCAGGTTCAAACAAGAAAAGCATAATCTGTCTGATGCTGATCTCCATCGTGAAATTACTAAAAGTACCAGTGATGTCTCACCAAAATCTTCATGTAATTACCAGAAGCACCATGCTGGTATGAAGGCAAATGAAGATGATGAGCTTGTCAAGTACATGTCAAGTTTACCAAGTTATCTGGAGAGAGGTAAAAACCCCCAGGAGAAAGTTTTAAATGTTGGGGTCCTTGAGTGGGGACGGCTAGAAAAGTGGCAATATAGCCATAAGCAGGTCTCACATCGAAGCAGTATATCTTCACTCTCTAATAGCAACACATCCTCTTCTTTCTCCACAGATGATTCATCTGCACATTCAAGCAGAGGTCATAGCTGTTCTCCGACCCATCAGTGGGCGCGCCGGCTTCCATTGCAATTTCATCTGATGTCATCTCCCAAAGAAGACAATTTGCATGGTGGTAAACCATTAGGGGACGGTGTTGGAAAGCCACAAGATCTCAAGGCTGCTGACGGCAACACCTTCAATGGTCAGGCAAAATTCATTGGAGCAGATAAATCTTCTATTAGAAACCATCCTGCAATCAAACCAGAACAGTTCAGAGGGAAAGATACACGCTCAAGGATCAAATCAGAATATGGAACTTCAGATGGAGTAAATTCTAAAGTAAACATTGCGAGGCAAGATGGAAAATCTATGAACAAAGAGGAGAAGCTTCAGAAAGAGAATCTAGATGACCTTAAGCAAGATTTTTCTGGAAAAGGGAAAACTGTTGTGCTTCTTCAGCCAAGAGATTTCCCCAAAATGAATGATTCTGGAGCATCTGGACTTTCTGATCCAACAACAAACACAAGTCAGCAGAAGGCAGCACCCAGTCAGAGGAGTGTTGCAGAGAAATTGAGTGAGGCTAACCATGATAAGAGCAATTCTAATCTTTCACATTCATGCCCACTTCCACGTGAAGTTGATGGCAGAAATCTTCCTCGGATAAAACCTGTAGATGCAAAGAATATTGAATTTTCATCTGAAATGTCTTGTTCTGCACTACATTCAGCAAAGACAGGATGTAGTGCTGCTAGAAGCAGAAATCTAGAAGGGAGGGTTGCTTCTGTGAAGCCTGTTGTGAATGAGCCTCTCAAAGGATCAGATCTGAGGGTGAGCAAGGTGGCACCTGAAAAAGTAAGAAGCACTTCTCCCTTCCGTTTTGTGAAGCCTGCTGTGAATGAGCCTCTCAAAGTGTCAGATCTGAAGGTGAGCAAGGTTACACCTGAAAAAGTAAGAAGCACTTCTCCTTTCCGTCGCTTTAGTTTTGGTATTGGTAAGACAAGTAAGAGTTCCAGCTCCAGAGATACTTCTGCAGTACCTCAGTTGAGCCCAGTGTGTACTTCTGCCAAATGTGATTCAGAGATCCCTGTTGCTTCTCACCATGCTAGTACCTATGGTGATAGAACGAATGCTGCAAGTAAAGGGAGGTCGAGCCCTTTGAGAAGATTGTTGGACCCACTGTTGAAGCCAAAGGCAGTGAGTTGTTCTAATGTTGCTGAGTCAGTAGAGAAACGCTCAATATCAACTGAAAGGGCCCGTAAATCATCACATGGACTAGCACTTTCTTCAACTACTAGTTTGTCATCAGGGAAAGTGAAATCAGAAACAACCAGTACCAGATGTAGCACAGTGAATGTCAATGATTCATCTGAATACAATAAACATGGATCATCAGTAATTCAGGCTCTTCTAAGAGTTCAATTTAAGAACGGCTTGCCTCTTTTTACATTTGCAGTTAATAATGGGAGTGACATTCTTGCAGCCACTATGAAGATGTTTAGTGCCCCAAGCAAGGACAACCATGGTTGCATTTTTACATTCTTTTCCATTCCAGAAGTCAAGAAAAAGAATGGAAGATGGATAAATCAAGGAGGAAAGGGTAAAGGTCAGGACTATATCCCAAATGTAGTGGCCCAAATGAAGGTTTCTGGTTCTGATATTTCACATTTGCCAAGACAGAACTGCATTGATCAGTTCAGGGTTAGAGAATTTGTTCTTTTAGGTGTGGATCTAGGACAGGCAAATCAGCCAACATCTGATTTCCAGCAAAAAGATGAGCTTGCAGCTATTGTTATGAAGATCCCAAAAAGAATTACTAAAGGTTCAAGCAGAGATGGGTATCAGACGGATATGCATAATGACTCACAACAGGCTGGGTTAAAAGACTGTCTGCCTGAGGTGAAATTTGATTCTAGTTTTGTTAAAAATACCCGGAATAGCCTTTTTCTTGGTCATCAAGATATTGATACTACAGTCATACTTCCAAGCGGTGTGCATAGCCTGCCAAGTAAAGGAGGACCTTCATCATTGATCCAACGGTGGACAGCAGGCGGATCATGTGATTGTGGTGGTTGGGACTTAGGTTGCAAGCTTAAGGTTCTTTCCAATGGGAATCAACTCAGCCAGAGACCTGGTTTGACAAAAAGTTCTGAGGATGCTGATCCATTTGAACTTTTCTTTGAGGTATAAGCCTTTTGCCCTTGGGCTAAACTAGTTGCACACTGTTATGCTCAAATGGTTAACTGACATCTCTATCTGTTTTATTCCAAATTTACAGGGTGGACTACAAGAGAACAGGCCTTTCTTCAGCATGGCCCCTTTCAAGGATGGAATCTATTCAGTTGAGTTCAATTCATCACTTTCACATATGCAAGCATTTTCCATTTGTATAGCTGTTTGGGACAGTAGGAGATTTTGTGAGCTTTCCGGATCAATTAATTCATTTGAAGAAAGAACTTCACTGGAGACCATATTAGTGCAAAATGAAGGAACAAAGGCTCCTAATCCGACTGAAGGAGAGAGTCCTGGAAGATATGTGTCATATCCACCCAATATCTCTCCAGTTGGAAGAGTCTAGCTTCACAGTGCAAAAGATCCTGTAATTACTCTAGGCCATGAAGATAAGTACATCTCTGGTTTGATGGAGATCCTGCGCTACCCTTTCACATTTGCCTGGGGCTTGCCACAATGGTAGGAACAGGTTCTCCCTAGAGCTTTTGGTCATTGTATTTTTCATTTACTTTTGATTTTACTTTGGACAATAGAAGCCATATTTAACTCTACTAGAGATGTCTTCAATGTAAGTGTGCATATTATGAGTGATTTAATAAGCTTTTTATGAGTGCATTTATTCATGTATCAAAGCCAATTGGTTCCCATACATGGAAGGTTTTTTCTCAACTGGCATGGGACACATATTTTGGCTAGATAAGCTCAGGCGACTTTGGGAATGGTTTTTAGTTTTTCCATGCTCCATTCATGGCCCATTTTAATAAGCTACAAATGTTGCATTTATCGATCTTCGTTTTTCCAAAGCATATATCTACATTTTCTATGATATAAATCTAGATGGACCAGTTGTGTGCAATTATCATAAATTAAAGTACTTACCAACAAAACATGATCCAACTTTTCTTTTTGTATTTTTGTGCTCAAAAGCCCTCTGAAAAAAAAAGTTTGTTTCCTTTCCAATTAAAAAAAGAAAAAAAGAAAAAAAAAAAAGAAGCTTTATTGAATCTTTCCCAACTGCCTCCTTCTCCGACGTAGGAAAAGAGATTTTGGGCTGAAATTAGGTGAATCCTTTTGGGGTGGGTTGGATTCGGCATTATCCTTGATCTCCCTTTTCCGTTGAAATTCGGATCCTCTGAGATTCATTTCCCGGTGGTGCTCTGTCCATCTGAACAAAACCGTTGAAAGTTGGATTTTTGAGCGGTTTAAATGGTCCGAGGTGTTGAATTCTACGCCGATTGATGTCAAGCTCTAACCTTGGGTTCCACACAGAAATGCCGGTCTACGTTGATCGTGAGGCTCCCAAGGTTTCTATCTTTTCAATGTATTCTTTTCCAGAGATTTTTTTTTTCCTTCTGTTTCTGTGGGTTCTGATTTTTATTTTTTTATTTTTTTTGGTTTTTTGGGTTAAATGTGAAGCTATGGAGGAAAATTTGCACAGAGACTTTTTTGGAGATTTCACTTCTTGAAGAGAACTGGAAGCTTATCTTTGCAGGACTTGTTTTTCAGGTCTTCTCTTTTGTTTCCTTCAGAGAGAGCTATCCTTACCCCCTAACATTTCAGAGCATAAACTATTTTCCTGCTGGAAAGATATTCACTTTTGTGTCAGGCCCATTACTCACAATAAAATGCATTTCTTTTGCAAGTCTTCATTGCAATACAATTGTCTATTTTATGTAAATTTATCATGATCGTTTCTTATTTTACCCTGTCACAGTTTTGTGGATTATGTAAAACTTGTAATCATGCATTGAGTTATATGATAACTCCCTTTTCTTTTCCATTCCAGTATATTCATGGCTTGGCAGCTCATGGAGTTCATTACCTACATCGGCCAGGACCAACACTTCAGGATGCTGGTTTCTTTCTGCTTCCAGTGGGTACCACTTCTTGGTTCTATGGTGGTTCTCTAAATTTTTTGCAAAACTGTGGCAGGATTTACTTAAATTATTTTGTCGAAATTTAGGAACTTGGACCAGGCAAAAATTATATGAGCGAGACTGTGTTCACCATTATCTTCTGTTCCTTTGTTTTGGTAAGGTCGTACATTTCCTTTTTCTTAATTTCATATACTGTTTATCACATGCCTCTCTATTATTTTGCTCGCACCTTATGGAGGCTAATGTGAAATTTCCAGTTGTTGATTGGTCTTTTTGTGGTGTTTTTTATTTTGCAGTGGACTTTCCATCCCTTTGTTTTCCAGTGCAAAAGAATCTATACTGTTCTGATATGGTGTAGGGTTTTTGCTTATTTAGTTGTAAGTACCAATATTTTTATGTTTTTGGGTGCATATATCCATGATTAACTTTCTCAGTTGGTCGTTTCGTTTCCACGTGATGCTGTGTTGTTGAAAGATTTTTTTCTAGAAATTGGATCACTTTGAGGGCTGACACAGGCTACTTTTTTGAGAAGGCAGGATATTGAGAGCTGTGGTTTCTGATGTTGTCCTGCAAGACTTGTCTAACAGTACATTAACTATTGTTTTCTAATCTTTTTTTCAAGGTATCTCAAAGTCTCCGCATCATAACATTCTATTCAACTCAGCTCCCCGGTCCAAATTATCATTGTCGTGAGGTAATAAGTGGTGGATGTTTGAATGATTTGCCATATGTTCAATTTGATTGTAAAATTCCCGTTAAAAGATGTTCTTAAGCTCATGATATTGATATGTGACAGGAGTGATTTGTCTCTCATAATGGATTTACTTGTTATTATTAAAGAATGTTTTACAATCAGGTACAACTGTCTCTTTCAGGGCTCTAAACTTGCTAGGTTGCCTCGGCCAGAGAGTCTACTTCAAGTCCTCTTAATCAACTGTCAGTTCTAAATTATTTTAGCTTTTCCTATTCTCTTTTGTCAAACGTAGTTAAAAGCATGATACTGGCTCTATACTTATTTGCAGTTCCCCAAGGTGCTATATATGGCTGTGGTGATTTGATATTCTCATCACACATGATATTTAGCTTGGTATTTGTCCGCACGTATCAAAAATATGGCACTAGAAGGTACTGGATTAGCTTTAGTTTATTGAATGCTTGTTTATTCCAGTAAGTATTCTTTGTTTACCTATCTATGAGTGGTATTGTAAAACCCACCAAATATGCAGCATGGATTATGAAATATGAACCATATAGAATGTTATGCCGTTTTAGTGAAAAGTGTTAAAGCTTGTTGCCTATACTTTACAGGTGCATTAAGCAGTTTGCTTGGTTACTTGCTGTGGCTCAGAGCCTCCTGATCATTGCTTCTCGCAAACATTACACCGTTGACATTGTTGTTGCATGGTGAAGAATAGAAAAAACCATACAAAAATTGTTCTGCTCTTGAAGTTAATTGTTTGGGAACTTTATCCCTTTCAATGATTAACCTTGAGGAATTGAATCTTGTGCAGGTATACTGTAAATCTGGTTGTTTTCTTTGTTGACAAGAAATTGCCAGGTTAGGTTTCACAATTCTATTATTAACTTATTTTCAATTTCTTGCAGTCTTAAAATCCTGTTTTAATTTTATCAAGGGTATAAAATGCTTTTCAGTAGTGATGAATGGTATTACTGAATGCATCACCTAACTGAACATTGAATGCAACAGCTTTTACAAAATTTCCTTTTAAGTGGTGAGTGTACTCTGTACTGTATTTTTGCAGAGTTGCCGGACCGATCAGCTGGACTCACAGCTCTACCTCTTCTTCCTTTGAGCACAAGAGATAAGGATGGCAAGAATAAAGAAGAGCACCAGAATTTGCTAAATGGGAATTCCGTGACCATTCCAGACTAAGCACAGGTTATCAGCAACATTTCACACCATATTTATGATCCCTTTTGCCTGGTGCTTTCAGAAGAGATACTATATAGAACCGTGTAAAGTGCTCTCTACCAACATTAGACACAAATGAATCACAACATTCAAGTTAGGTACAACGATAACTGGTGAATAGATGTCAGCCCAAGCTGAAGATAGCTTTGGTGCTGTTAAAGAAACTGGGCTTGTAAACAAAGGTCAAGTTGAAACCAATGCATTTTCATCTCATTTACTGCATATATACTGAATAGTCTGAATTGTAATGTCTGTTAGAAATGGAATGTAATGTTTCAACAGATTCAAATGCTGACTTTAGTCCTATTGCTTTGCTTTGATTGGTAATTCATCTAGTTGCTTGGAAACATTGAGGGGAGGATCGAATGGTGAAACCATCATTATGAGATGAATGCACATTTTTCTATTCAGAATATTGATGAGTTGCTAGGACTGTATGAAGCACGTAAGTCAAAAGATCAAAGGGAGACTAGTACTTTAAAACTTTCTGGGTACAGTGAGTTGAGTAGGGTTGTGTGCATGTGATGCCTTTTCCTTTTGGCTTCTGAAGCTGGCATGATCCAATGAATCAACATTAATAATGCTTGTCTGATGCCCCACCATAGCCACCTTACACTGCTTTCATTTTGTACATTTTCTTTTCTTAAGAAGATGATGTATGAATATTGCAGACAGCACTCGTTACAATCACATGCCCTTACTCGCATTTCCCATCCCCATCAAAGTCACTATTCCCCTTTGCCTTTTGCTCTCATCCATGGTACTGCCATATTTTCTCTTCTGTATGCCCTGCCATTGTCAAATTTATCCAAAAGTAGAGATCATTTTCTCAGCATGCATTGCCTTTCTCATATCTCAGTTGATTCAATTGCAGTCCAAAAGCTAGGCTTTTGCAGAAACTTCTTTCCCTTCTTGCCTTTTTTTCTCTTACACCAAGCTCAAACTAGTGAAAAATTACCATAAAGCTTGAACATGTTTAAAAAAACCGAGAAATGTGATACTACATGTTATTCATGAGAAAAAGAAAAGGAAGTGATCTTGGCAGTCATTCATGCTTCCCAAGTCTAAGAATCCCCCTTGCCGATCCATGTTGGAAAGCTGCCAAGCAGATCCATGGGAGGATTTTTGGGTGTCTGTTGCTGAAATTTTTAGCATTAGCAAAATCAGTACTAAATAATGTGTTGTACACACTACACAGACAGTATTGGCTTCCTTCATGTGGACACTTTCCCCCTCTGCCTTTGTTTTTTTCTTTACATGTTCCATGGGGTGGAGACCACAGCAAAGGTTGGTGGTTTTGCTGGTAATTGGGATTTTGCTGTTGAAGGTCCACATGCTCTTCGAAAATGTTTCAATTTAGTTCTTTAACTCTCAAATTGTTCAATTTTGTAGTCATTTGTATATGTTGTTTTGATTCATTTGATGATAAAGTATACAATAGGAAATGTCACTTTCTCTAAACTTCTCTCCCTATTCCAAGACTTGAGCTTGAGACCATCAAAATGAAAGGGGTTTTAATAGAATCAAAGGTAGAAGAACCTAACTGAATGATGGTCAAAGGGTTTAAGTACAATAATGGATATTCCAATAGTTAAAGAACTAAATTAAACATTTTACAAGAGCACAGTACCTTGACTGCCATTAATCCATTCTTTCTCCTAGATGTTTTTTTTATGGGTGTGGACTGTGGAGACCCCAGCACAGACTGATGTTTTGATGCGATGTAGAAAATGGGTCATGGGCATTTTGGCAAAAGACAAAGAGGTCCAAAGTTTCTTGTCTAATTTCACTATCAATTTAAGCTGGAAAAAGTTGGTCAAGTTCCATCATTTGAAGCATGTCTTTGCCTGCGCCCTCCATTATTCTTGACTACACAATTCCCTCCACTTCTTTATCTTCTCTCCATCAGATGTATATCACAGATCTTTGTTCTGGGTTATCTTCTCTCGACTGGTATGGTTAATCAGAAATGATTAAATTTTTCTTATGATATTAGATAGAATGTGACGTAACACTAAACATAATGATTGAGTTAACAACTCTTTTTATTCAATAAAATACAAAAATAAACGTTTGGAATGCATTTATTCTTACGTATGTTGTATTTATAAAACAACTAAATCATTATGTATATTCCAGTTCAAAAAAAATCATTATGTATATTTTAAAATAATATTATATAATTTAAATTATGTTAAATTATATACAACATAAATTATTAAATAAAAATAATTAAAATTTCTTATAATAAAAAATTATATTTTTATTCAAAATTTTTATTATACAATTTAAAGTTCAAACTATAAAATAAATAATTCTTAGGTATATAATAAAATAATTTAAAAACAGAAGAGAAACCTAATAACATGAATTGTGGGATCTTTTGTTGACAAATGACAAATCACATCAAGACCCCAAAATTCAGGGAATTATCTATCACCTTTAATCCAAACCCATTATATTCTTCAATTATGCCCCCTATAAAGTTCCTAATCTTTTCCTCATTCCCTATAAAGATTATTTACATTTTTCATTTATGAAAAATACTAATTTAATTACTGTACAAAACTAATTCCACTTTTGGGCGGTAATCTTTTTTCTTTAAACAGTAATAAAACCCATTACAATTTTAAAGTTAATTAATTTAAAATTATGTAAAATTTTATAGGAAAATAATTTTTGTGTAATCTTTTTATCTGATTTTTTTATACAACTCGACGTGTCATTAAAATAATTAATTTTTTTAATTCATGTAAGATCCGTAATATTGAATGTATTCACTTATTTAATAATAAGTGAAAGTTGTATAAAAAATTAGGATAAAAAAATTATCTCATTAGTACAATCCAATTTTATATATATCATTTAATTTATTACATAAAAATGATATGAGGTAAATATTCCAAAATCAAAAGAGGAAGCCCTACTTAAGAAAGTTAATTTTTTTAAACAGTAATAAACCAATTCAAATACAGGACACAGAGCTTCAAAACCAATTAACTCAAAGTTACATAAAATTCCATATAAAATATTTAGCTCACTTCTAGCACTAATCTCATGACAAGAACAGTACTTTATTTAATTAATCTCATAAG